ATGCTACTTCCTGGTCGCCTTCCTTCCACTGTGCCAGGTGTGTGACATGCAGTCTGGCTCCAGGCCGGGGAAGGGATGCCTTACCACAGCCCCCACCTCCATTCTGTTTTGGTGTTTTGTTTATTAGCTGGACTTTGCCTCTGGGAACCTTCCAGCCAAAATGACCTAGGTCTTGAGTCACAGTGATCTGGCTTCTCAGGACTTAATAACAAGTTCTCTCCTGGGGGTTACGGGGCTTATCAATTGGGCACAGCAACGCATGGTTCTTCAGAAGGTGAGAGAAGCTGGAATTCGCTTGTGCAACCATTTTGCATGGGAGGGCAGGGAAGGTGGACGGATTTGACCAGAAGCATGATCCAGAGTCCAGGAGGTGATGAGCCACTGTTCTGGAAGTGATGTCCTGGAGCATGCGAGACACAATGGCTCTCCTGACAGAAGGTCCCCCAAAAGGCTAATGTCATGTCTGCTGAGGGACGCAATGGTGTTACCTGAGGTCCTCACTAGGTGTACACTGAAAGACATTGGACTGAAATGAGAGGTGAGGGGGCCTGTGAGGGCCCCACCAAGCAAGATATGGTGTGCTGGGTTCCCTCGGGGCAAAGTGGACCCACCAGAGGGACAGAGGCTTGAGCTCATGGCTTTTCAGCAGCTTTGAGTGGCTTCCTTTGTGCAACTGGCTGAGCCTCGGACCCTGGACCATGGCCAGCTGGGCAGCCCCGAGCCAGCCAGCAGATGCCGAGCCAAGGAAGGACAGAGGAAAGGACCTGAGTGGCTGCATCTGGTGACCTGATGGGGCATGGCTACAAAAAGTTAGGACAAGGAAGAGTACTCGAGCCCTCCTGGCCAGCCTCTCACGATGGGGGGCAAACGGCAGCAGAGGATTGGGGGTTCCGGCGCAGGCAGGGGCATCAGGCCGCCTGAGAGGTGACAAAGGGCTACACATGACACCACAGAAGGATGGCCTAGAAACAGGGCCTGGCTGCAGCGCCTGCTCCCCTGTAGGGAGCACAGGCAGGCTCCGTGCACATGGGAGATGCGTTGCTCTGGGAAGACTGTGCCCCACATGAGGGACCCCGAGCCTGGAGGCGACCCATGTATGTCCACACGGGGGTCCATGCACAGACACCATGACACAAGCTGCCCACACACCATCACTGGGACTGCCTGGTTGTCACCTTTGCAGAGACGAGGTCTCACAATGTTGCCCAGGCTGGTCTCGAACTAGCTCAAGCAATCCTCCTGGCTTAATCTCCCAAAATGTTGGGATGACAGGCCTGAGCCACTGTGCCCAGCCAGAGGTTTTTTTTTTGTTGTTTTTTTTTTTGAGTCAGAGACTCACTCTGTCACCCAGGCTGGAGTGCAGTGGCACGCGCATGGCCATAGCCTCAATCTGCTGGGCTCTGGCAATCCTGCCTCAGCCTTCCAAGCAACTGAAACTACAGGTGCGCACTACCACACCCGACTTATTGTTTTGATTTATTGTAGAGACAGGGTCTCACCAAGGTGCCCAGGCTAGTCTCAAATCCCTGAGCTCAGGCAATCCTCTCGCCTCAGCCTCCCAAAGTGCTGGGATTACAGGCTTGAGCCACTGCGCCCGGCCCAGAGTATTTTTTTAAGCTAATGATTGCTGTGTACAGAGGTGAGGTGCACAGGAAGGGGCTTGAATCTTACACGGCTCTGATGAAATCAGTGTTTCTACTGTGCTGAGTGGTGCAGCTTAATTTTAGAACCCTTCCAGCCTGCCACCTGATTACAACCTGATCTGTGCTCCTTCTGCAATACCGTCTAAGGACGGAGGTATTTCTCTGAAACCTAAGACATCATCTAAAAACCACACTCCAGGTTCACTGCTAGTGACGGAACAACCCCCTTAATACATCTGCTTAGCAGCGGTGTATGTCAGCTGGAGGTGCAGGCAGCCTGACATTTCAATTGCTGGTACTGTGAGTCTCACAGAGAGAGAGTTAGAAGTCGGGACTGTCAGGAGCGGGTCACGAAACGGCAGTGCCAGGCAGAGGGACGGGTCTGCACAGTCGCGTCTCTTGGGTCTTTTAAAAAAGGAACAAGCAAGAGAGGAGGAGTCAAATTCCCTAAAGCTGTCAGGATGGCTGGGGACCTTGTAGGGGTGGGGATGGAGTTAGAGGGAAGGACGACGGGAATGTCACACAGTCCCTTGTTGATAAGACATCTGTAGTGGGGTCTGAGGACGAGTGTGTTCCTGTGTGAAATACATATTTTTCTAAAAATTAAATATTTACCTATTTAGAGTCAGGGTCTCACTCTGTCGTACAAGCTGGAGTGTGGTGGCACATTCACAGCTCACGGTAGCCTCCACCTCTGGGGCTCAGGCAATCCTTCTGCTTCAGCCTCCTGAGCAGCTGGGACGACAGGTACATGCCACCACGCCAGGCTAATTTTTTTTTTTTCTTTTTTGTAGAGACAAGGTCTTGCTATGTTGCCCAGGCTGGGCTTAACTCCTAGGCTCAAGCAATCCCCCTGCCTCAGTCTCCCGATGCTGAGATTACAGGCATGTGCCACTGTGCCTGGCCAATACATTTTTTTTTTCTTTTTTGAGTCAGGGACTCACTCTGTCACCCAGGTTGGAGTGCAGTGGCATGATCACGGCTCATGGCAGCCTCAACCTCCTGGGCTCAGGTGATTCTTCCACCTTAGCCTCCCAAATAGCTGGGACTATCAGTGTATACCACCACACCTGGCTAATTTTTAAATTTTTTTTTTATAGAAATGCGGTCTCACTATGTTGTCCAGGCTGGTCTCAAACTCCTGGGCTCAAGAAATCCTCCCAACTCAGCCTCCCAACGTGCTGGAATTACAGGTGTGAGCCACTGTGCCTAGCCTAAGCCCTGAAATTATATGAGAACTTTCTCAACTTGGAAACACACCTAGGTATTCATTTATGCGTATGCATGACCACATGTTTACATGCATGTGCATGTAACCGTGTGCTTACATAGCTCTTAGAGTGACTCTATAAGGGAAATTCTTTTTTTTTTGAGTTGGAGTCTCACTCTGTCGCCCAGGCTAGAATGTAATGGCATACTCACGGTCACCGCAGCCTCAACCTGCTAGGCTCAGGTGATCCTTCCACCTCAGCCTTCCAAGTAGCTGGAGATACAGGCATGTGCCACCATGCCCAGCTAATTTTTTGATTTATTGTAGAGATGAGGTCTCACCAAGTTGCCCTGGTTGGTCTCGAACCCTTGGGCTTAAGCAATCCTTTCACCTCGGCCTCCCAAAGTGCTGGGATTATTGGCGTGAGCCACCGCGCCCGGCCTATAGGGGAATTCTGCTGTAGCGTTAGTGCTCCTGTGACCTGGTGTATACATGAGAAGGTTAAGTTCACAAACTACGATGCTGTAGGCTATAGAAGTTATCTACTCACAACCTGCTTGTATCTCAGGGGGAGTATTCAAAAGCATCATGGCACTGGCAGCATCAATGTCAGGATCTGGAAAAATCAACCAATAAATAACATTATTTACAACGGAGCCAGTGTGTGTGTGTGTGTTTCCCCCTGCAAGTTACAGTTTATGGAAAAATCCAGGAACCAGATGAGCTATCCCAAAGGGGACTTTCTTCCCATTTGGATTTGAGAGGAGGAAGAGGCATTCCAGAATGAGATTGGGGGCACATGAGCAAAGGTTTCATGGAAGCAGCACAGCGGCTTCTCGTTGTGTTAATTTCATCACTCGCACTGTGTGTTCTTGGCGAGCTGCTGATCTGTGCACCCTCAGCTTTCACCCTGGGGTAAGAAGCAGGAGAGTCAGTGACAATAGGAACTTCAGCCGCAGGAATCTTCCACGCACTGGGGAAAGCTCCCAGCATCACGGAAGCACTAACTCCACCTGCATCTCCTGTGATACCAATGAGACATCCGGCCATTTCCATTTGTCAGCAGAATGTAAATAGTGTTTTACAAGGCCAAGGGCTTGTAACAGCAGTGGTGCAGGTGGTGAAGGCTTTTTTTTAAAAAAGCACTTAAAATATAAAGAAGAAATCAAAGTTCTGGTGTTGTGGGCACACTTTGCTCCTACATCTGTTACTGCTTTTTATATAAGCCCCCTTCACCCCAAAATACTCATCACTTCACTTGCTATCATTCTCCATAGGTTTCTGAATCCTTATTGGTCCACTGGTTGACAGATGGCAGGTTATAGAGAAACAGTGAAAAATATTATCCTTGTATAACTAAATTCATTTTCCTCTGAGAAACAGCGGCTCTGCTGCTATGGAAATGAAGGTCACCATGGCAACAGTAAACAATCCCCAAGAATGGTCACTGAATAGGCTGAAAAGAACATCTGCCCCAGCCCAGCGTCCCAGCTGCCCCGGGGCGAAATTTACTAATCGCACGGTGATGCCTCGTGACAGAAGCTGCCACCTGTGCCCTGTTCAAATAAATGAAGTGTGCGATTGAAGTCGACGTCAAATGCCTTCCCTCACAGATGACTGCCTCAGCGCCTGCGAAGCCCGGGGACTATTGATTGGTGGGGGAAGGGGCGCACTTGTCAGTTTTTGTACAAATTACGTACCAAAAAATTCAATTTACTACTAATGGCTCTGTGGCACTTTATTTTGGGTGTGATGCTGGAAAATTACTTTTTTACTGTTTAAAGAAGTACATTTTTTTCATACTTTCCTATGTGTAGTTTAATTCCAAGGGAGGAACAGGTCGTTGTAGAAAGACCCATAAGCGATTAATGACACTCTTGATGTGGCCTCCAGGAAACAAGGTGGCAAAGGAAAAAAAAAGGACTCTGAAGATTGTCCTTGTTTTTTTTTTCTTTCCATTTTGCCTGCAGGAGACCTGTTACTCACACTCCATAATAAATCAAAAGTTTATTTTAACAGGTATGTTGCATGAGAAACAGGTAAATTAATTTATTTGGTGACTCTGGGGGTGAAACTGCTAAAACAGTCAACCCGCCCCATTGATATTAAAATATACACAAGAGGGTGCCAAAAACATGGAGACACATTTTAAGAAAGGAAAAAACTGTATTAAATTGTAATACTCAATAAGATGAATGCAAGTCATGTTTGACTTCTACAGTTATAAGGAGTGCTCAAAGTGGTTCCCATCAGCATCCAGACCATTCTGATGGCAGTGAACATCTCTTAAAATGCATATGCATATTCTGGCACCCCCGGTATATTAGTTGAATGATTAACTGAGAAACTAAAAGTTTTGCTCATGGCTCCTGGGTATCCCCTGCCCCCGCCTGCCCACAGGGCCTGCTACCAGGAAGTAGGACTCAGGCACAGCAATCCACAAGCCACGTGGGACAAGTGGTTCCTGAGAGGTGCTGTCGGGGACTCTTGGCCTGTTCCTTCCTCGTCTCCTTTTAGAAAGGGCCTTTTCCTTTCTCAGAGACTAGCCAAAAAAACACGCAATTTCTTCTTGCTAAGCAAAGATTCTTTGCGGTCATAAGAAAGTAAGTACCACAGGCAACCGTGGTTAGCCTGGTTAGATGTTCCCTGTCTCCCCAGGTGCCTCTGCCTTGCACCCAGAGTTTTTCTCACTGACCAGGAGCTTTGCTGGGGCCATAGCAAAAGTTAAATACAGGCGCCAGGCACCTGTAATCCCAGGACTTTGGGATTGCTTGAGCCCAGGAATTCAAGACCACTCGAGGCAACATGGCGAGACCTCATCGCCACTAAATCCAAAAATTTGGCCAGGTGCGGTGACATGTGCCTATAGTCCTAACTACTCAGGAGGTTGAGGTGGGAGGATTGCCTGAGCCCAGGAAGTCAAGGCTGTAGTGAGATGTGGCTGAGTCATTGCACTCCAGCCTGGGAGAGAGAGTGAGACTTTGACTCAAAAAAAAAAAGTAAGAACTCAGAATCTAGCCGGGTTTGGTGGTTCAGCCTGTAATCCCGCGCCTTGGGAGGCTGAGGAGAGTGGATTGCCTGAGCCCACGGGTTCGAGACTCGCCTGGGCGGTGAGACCTCATCTCTACAATAAATCAAAAAATCAACCAGGCGTGGTAGCGCATGCCTG